GAAGGCACAGAACACCTGTACTTTGTTTGTTGAAGGATTATGCCCAATGACTTTATGTCTGGACAATCGGATAATGCATCCACACTTGTCAAAAACAAAGCCTCTAAATATCTTTCTCACATTTTTTATAAATATTTATTGCTTATGTTTTTATCAAAAGGCTTGAATTATGTACTTGTAATATAGGTTGAGCTTCTCTGGTCCGGGACTCTCTGGTCTGGCAACATCCATGCTTTAGCAGGACCACAGACGTTGCCGGATCAGAGAGCCCCTGGACTAGACATCCCCAGCTTGAGGAAGCAGAGTCCTGGCTCCCTGGGGCAGCCTCAGGGCTATAGAGTGGCCATGGAGCTCCACTGGGCCCAGAGCAGCTGATCTCTGGTGGCCACTGAGTGGTGGAGCCCCAGAGCAGCGGAACAGTGAAGCCCCGGAGCAGTGGAGCCCTGGTGGTCCCAGGAGAGCAAAGCCCTTGTCGCCCTGGGACACAAGAGCTCCAACAGCCCCATTAACCCTGAGGCTGGCTAAGGAGCTGGGAGCCCAATGGCCCAGGGGCAGGGGAGCCTGGTGGTTTGTTGACAGATTCCAGGAGAGCCAGGAGTCTGTGCAGCAGAGAGGCCAATCTCCCGTGGTCCAGTCAGGTCCCAAGGGTGACAGCCCAGAGAGGTCTAGATTGTTTTTCCAGGGAAAATAACTTGAATTTTGTACTTCTAATATTTCCAGTGTCAGTTGTTGCTTTCTAATCACTTGCTTTTGCATTTTTGGTTCCCTTGTTTTAAAATCCAGGAGGACATTTTTAAAAGCAATCTGGCCTTAAATTTAGACATCATATACAATAGTCAGATCATGGTCCCATTAAAATCAGTGGTAAAGCTATAGAAATTCAGTTGATGCCAGGGAATCTAGCTGGTAAAATGTCCAAGATATAAGTAAGCAATTCAGATAATTTGAAACATAGTTCTTTCCAGATGATTCTGCATTTAAAAAAAATCACTTTTTGAACGTAAATGCTATTTGTCAATTAGCCATTTGCAAAGATAGGGAAATCAGGGTTTTAAATTCTAGCTTCCATATTGTTCAAAAAAGCATAGAAAATGTATTCTTTCACCTTATAAAGTATAGCATTTAGTTCATGTTTGTATACAGCTGGCTCTGCTAAAAGGTGCTTTTATGTGGCTCTGAACTTGAAATTATTTTTTAATTGAATACATATTAATTTACATTAGGACAATACAAATGTTTGTGGATGTAAAACATTAAAAAAAAGAAGGAAATCCATCCATGTGGATAGTTACTGAGGTGTTACTGCAAGTCACTGATATAATTAAAAAACAAGATTTTTTTTATTCAATAGCTTAACTAAGAAATTAAACAAGCTGCTACACTCTGTTATTGTAGGTAAAATCTTGCTTTAACATTTTCACTGGCAGGATTTGAAAAAGGAAAACAATGTAGAGTGACACTGAGGAAAATACTAAAGTATTCCCACTGGTGTGTGTTCTTCATAGGAATCCTAAAGTTTTTTTTCAGTTATTTTTGTCTTTTTGAACGGTTGTGTGTAACTTCTGTTTTCATATTTAGTTACTCTTGTGTCTGCCAACATTGTAGTTAATAAAATTCTGAAATAATCACAATTAAATATGAGATTTTAAGCATGAAGCAGTGGTTTTATAGCAGATAATTGGGAAGATGAAAAGGCAAATGTACATAAAATGTTGACATCAAATTATATGAATCAAGGGCTTTTTAAGACTGTTACTATGTGCTTTGAATAAGCAGAGTGCCTGTTGCTTATCTAAGGGTATGTCTACACTACCCCGCTAGTTCGAACTAGCGGGGGTAATGTAGTCATCCACAGTTGCAAATGAAGCCCGGGATTTGAATTTCCCGGGCTTCATTTGCATAAAGCCGGCCGGCGCCATTTTTAAATGCCGGCTAGTTCAAACCCCGTGCCGCGCGGCTAGACGCGGCACGGACTAGCTACTTCGGATTAGGCTTCTAATCCGAACTAGCTGTATGCCACTAGCTGTACGTGGAATGAGGCATACAGCTAGTTCGGATTAGAATCCTAATCTGAACTAGCTAGTCCGTGCCGCGTCTAGCCGCGCGGCACGGGGTTTGAACTAGCCGGCATTTAAAAATGGCGCCGGCCAGCTTCATGCAAATGAAGCCCGGGAAATTCAAATCCCGGGCTTCATTTGCAACTGCGGATGACTACATTATCCCCGCTAGTTCGAACTAGAGGGGTAGTGTAGACATACCCTAATATATAAAGGAGAATGTTTGTAAGTTTGTGCACTAATAACTTGGACACTACTGCAACCAAACTTTGCATGGGATAACCTTTCATCCAGGAGAAGGTTTTAAGGTACTTTTGGACCCGATTGGGCCCGAGCTCAAGCTGTAAAAATAAAAAAGTAACCTGCCACGCTGCGCTGCAGGGGCTGCCCCGCCCACCCTCGGTCCCGTGCCCGCTGCCTGTGGCCCCCAGTGCTGTCTGGGACTCGCCCCCTCCCACCAGAGAGGTTACATAAGCAACCCTCTTTCCCCCCCTCATGTGCACAATTCGGGCACCCACCCTGCCCCCCACGGCACCTGCAGCCCTGGATGTGAGCTGGGGAACCCCTCCCACGTTTAACTTCCCCTCCACCTGGGATTGCCACCCCCCCCACTCCGGGGATGACCCAGTGAGGTTACATAAGCGAACCTCTTTCCCCCCCTCATGTGCACAATTCGGGCACCCACCCTGCCCCCCACGGCACCTGCAGCCCTGGATGTGAGCTGGGGAACCCCTCCCACGTTTAACTTCCCCTCCACCTGGGATTGCCACCCCCCCCACTCCGGGGATGACACGGACCTATATTTTAATCCCTATAGAAATCAGTGCAACTTTTCTAGTATTCAAAAAAGATAATGGACAACTGTTTTTCTACATTTTGTTCCTCCAGTTTCCCGAGCAATGCCGGGTAACTCCAGCTAGTCTTTATATATATCCTCCTCTTAGATAGTCTAGCAAATAGTTCTGATGCTAAAAACATCTATTATGACATATAAAAACAACCAGAACTAGAATTCATTACTGGAGTTAGAGAGATTTTCCTGATCTTCAGATGACAGGTCTTCTCTTCTTCCATATTCATCTCCAACAAGCATGTACATTATTTTAATTGAATTATTTGAGCTCGCAGAAGTGTAATTCTTGTTAATTTCAGAGTTTTTAATTTCTGTCCCTACTTCACAAAAGGTCTGATCCAAATCCTGTAGAAATCAATGGACAGTCATTGACTTCAGTTGGCTTTGCAACAGGTCTAGTTTGCAGGTCCTAACAGGGGTGTGAGAACAAAGAGTATTATGGGAGTGCTGAGAACCACAGAACTAAACTGTTCACCCTGTATATGAAGAAAACCACTTTCAGACAGGGGCTGTGATAGGACCCCTAGCACCCCTAGTTCTAACATCTATGGGTCCTGATTCCTAAAGTGTATGTCAATATGAGCTCTCCATTATTATCACAGCAATATGGAAATCAATTTTTGTAATTCAGCCCCTAGCCCAGAAAAGAACCTAAGCCCATGCTTAGCTTTAAGCAAGTGAGTTGTTCCATT